AAAGCCTCTTTGCAGTGTTGAGGCAACTCAAAGCAGAGATGATGGAAATAAAGAAGGAAAGGGAGAAAGACGCTCTTGAGCTTTCAGCTTTGAGAAGGAAAAATGCCAACTTAAGGAAAGAAATAAGAACTCACATACCTTCTCAAACTACACCCCTCGCCCAAGAGCAGGGGGAGTCCTCGGCGTTACAAGAAAAGCCAAGGGTAGTTCAGCAACTTGGAACCCAAATTGACCGAGATGATGTAGTGAGCCGAAGCCCGTTTGCTCACCATATCTTGGATGACAAGTTACTAGACAACTGGAGAGGCCTAACAATAGAAAAGTATGATGGAACATCAGACTCTGGAGAATATCTGAATATCTTCAAAACTCAGGTCGGTCTATATACAGAAAATGATGCCTTATGGTGCAGGATATTTCTTACTTCACTCCGAGGATCAGCCCTCAGTTGGTTCAATTTACAACCCTCATCAGACGATTCAATTTACAGTTTGTCACTAGTCATCCTCATCAACTGACCTCGTTGGCTTTAGTTAATATTTGCTAGGAGAAGGAGGAAACACTCAGGTCGTTTATGGAACGTTTCAGGCAAATGGCCCTCACTATCCGGAACTTGGATCCAGCAATTGCGATGCACTATCTCACAACAGCCCTTAGGCCAGGACTGTTTGTCAACAGTATCTGCAAAAGAACCCCTGTCGACCTAGATGAACTACGTTGTCAAGCAACCAAGTACATGCAAATGGAAGAACTGGCCGAGTTCCACAACCAAGCCCAGATGGAGTAAGTGCCCAGTTGACGAGAATCTAAAGGGAACGAACACGCAAGAAACAAACACGAAAATAAGGACCAAAAGATCAGAACTGAACGTCTCCCAAGGAGACCTAGGTTTGTAAGTTACACAATGTTAAACGCCAACCGATCCAAGGTACTCGAGCAGGCTTTAGCAACAGAGATATTGACAATACCGAAGCACACGAACACTCCCAATCAGGCTAGAAATTGTACTTAGTAAATTTAGTGCACTCTTTCCTCACTCGGGTTTTGTCCTCTTTTCAGAATGCGAAAAGAGGTTTCCAGATAAGGGCTTTAATGAGACACTTCAATAAAATGATAGAATTTTCTTTACAAGTCAATAGTCTCTTATTATTTCCTCCCAGATACCTCACTCGGCTAAGATTGAATCAAAATAAGTCAACAGTCTCTTAAAATTTCCTCTCGAGTACCTCACGTGGTTAAGGTTGAATTAAATATTCTCTCTCAAGTACCACACTCGGCTAAGGTTGAATTAAATATTCCCTCCCGGGTACCTCACTCGGCTAAGGTTGAATCAAAATTCCTTCCTAAGTACCTCACTTGGCTAAGGTTGAATCAAAATTCCCTCCCGAGTGTCTCACTTTGCTAAGGTTGAATTAAATATTCCTTCCCAAGTACCACACTCGGCTAAGGTTGAATTAAATATTCCCTCCCGAGTACCTCACTCGGCTAAAGTTGAACTAAATATTCCCTCTCGAGTACTACATTTGGCTAAGGTTGAATTAAATATTCCTTCCCAAGTACCTCACTCGGTAAGGTTGAATTAAATATTCCCTCTCAAGTATCACACTTAGCCAATGTTGAATTAAATATTTCTTCTGGAATACCTTACTCGGCTAAGGTTGAATCAATATTACCTCTCGGATCCTCACTCGACTAAGGTTGAATTAATATCTCTCGTATATCTTGTTCAAATAAGATTTAATTACTTTTTATGGATAACCTATCTCGGTTAGTATCTATATTCCCAAGTACCTCGCTTGATTAAAAGTTTGATTATTTTCTCCTATCAGCCCCTCTCAGTTAAGGTAAAATTTACATTTACGAGTACTCATTATGTTCGAATGTTCGCTGACACATACCTCACTCAGCTATTGTCTAATAATGAATGATTGCTGTCGTGTAACGTATTCGGTTCGAGTCGTTAAAAAAAATAATAAAAATTACAAATATCATGGATAATTATCATCCTTGGATGCATGACGCCTAACCCCCCTTTGGCCTTATCCTTGGATGCATGGTGCCTAACACCCCCCTTTCGGCATCATCCTTGGATGCAAGGCACCTAACACTCCCCTTCGGCCTCATCCTTGGATGCATGACGCCTAACACCCCTTTGGTCTCATCCTTGGATGAACAGCGCCTAACACCTCCCTTTAGCCTACTCACTTCTTCATTACAACCGAATACCTCCTCCGTCAAAGTGCCATGGGTAAATACATTATTAAGCCCTCGCCTCTTACCTCTTCGGGCTTGGGGCTAGTGTAATGGATAGGGCATTATTCGGTCTTACCTTTAGGAAAAGATAACCGAGTACCCCCTTCGATCTAATATAGCTGAATATCCTTTGTCAAATTAAAAGGTAATTAATCCAATTAAGGGTAATAATCAGAATATTATCTACTTTAATTAAGGGACCAAAACTAAGGCTGACTCAGCAAGCCCATTAGCCTATAACAATGCTTATAAAAAGAAGGTAGGAAGTACAAGTAAAAGGTGAACATTTCAATATAAAATAGCATTTATTGCTCAAAACCGAATCCTGACTTCAGCATCGGAGTGTCTTTTGCAGGTACCCTCCCCACGTCAAATAACGTCAGCAAGTTACGGAAGGACGTCACCCTATCCAAGCATAGACTTAAAGACCAGTGTTTTCCTAACAGGAACAATTATAAGAAAATTCATAAATTACTATTTAAGAAATTAAAAAATTATTTGAATAATGTAAAGATTAGATATTTTATTGCAAGTTATATAAACTTACAAAAAAAATTGGTTCTTAATACATAAGTTACATATAGCATTAATCATGAGTCATATATTATTTATAAAATTTTATTTTTATTGAAATAATATTGTAATAACAAATTTATTTTAACTTAAATTTTGTAATGATTGAATATTATTATTCTTATCTTTTTTTTTTCATCCAGTTTAATATGAATCCAATTATATATATCATTAATATGAGTCATATATTATTTATAAAATTTTATTTTTATTAAAATGATATTGTAATAATAAATTTGTTTTAGCTTAAATTTTATAATGATTAAATATTATTACTCTTATCTTTTTATTTTTTATTTTTTAATTTGTTTTAATTTGGATTTGACTCCGTACACTTGGATGAGTCTACTATTGATTAGAGATTTTTTTGCATATATAAAAATTCAAATTCAAAACTTTATTTAAGCAATACCAAGCTGCTTGTCACTCAAATTAACTTTTATTACTCCTATCTTTAATGTTAAGATGAAAAAGATATATAAAATATTAAAAATTTCGCTATTCATGAAAGAATATTTAACTATTATATAAAGAGTTCGGTTCGTAATTAGTTTATCACATGCATACTTATTTTTCTAAGATTTTATTATTATTTTTTCTAAATTAACATTTTATTATTGAAAAAAAAACTAGAAGGAAAATTGTGCATAAAAGTTTAAAAGATAAAAAAATGGAAAATTTTTTTAATTATCTTTCGTAAATATCGGTACAATACTCTATTTTTTATATTTATTTTGTAATGATATAACATATAGGAATTAATTATATGACTGCTATCATTATTATAATTTTTCGTTTTATTTTCAACGTCAATAAATCACTCAAGTGCTATAATTTTCACATGCAACGTTTGGACAACAACCTTAGTTCCATACTCTTCATTTTTCAAATGCTACCTACTCAGATTTGACAAATATTTAAATTAAAATTAAAAATTTTCTTATTTCAGAAGCTTGAAGGAACAAGATCACCAAACTACCAAACAAAATTCACCTCTGCGTCTACATAACACATAATTTAATACCTAGGTAAATATTATACATAGAGCTGAACCTGTCTCATTAGCATTTGTTCTAGGCCAATGAAAGGTTGCATATTTTAATGAACCCCATTGAAAAATCACAAATATAAATTTAAACTTACAAAAATAGTATTCAAAACAGATAAATTTCAGTTTTTGCGGGTTTTGATAGATTTTTATCAGTTTAATCTGCATCAGATTAGAATGAAAAAGTTAAATTTAATTTAAACTTAAAATTTTATATTTAAACTGTATTTTATTAGATAAATTTGAGGTCACCGACTGAATCGAGCTATTTTACGGACTCTAATTAAATATGAAATCTGAGATTATCGAAAGAGATCATGTCATGGGCGGCATCAGATCAAATCGATGACTTGAAAATGGCTGCTTCTATTCATATAAGTCAAAATTCTGCATCATTGTACGATTACTGCATATTTAACAATATTAAAAGCCTAATTAGGTTAGCTGGTTGTAAATATGATAATAAATCTTTCTAGCTAGCTATAAGTCTCAAGAAAATTTTCAAATAAGCCCATCCTAATTAAATTGTGACGTTAGCTTTCACGAACGATAAAATTTTAAAATGTCAAATTCACATGATGCTATCATTTTTCTTTCACCTTCGTTCTCGTTTGATCTCGAGGAAAACTTATCTTGAGTCTTTGAAAAATACATTATGTTATCATTATCAAGTTTTTATTTCTTTTACTTTTAATAATTTAATTCATCTCTCTGTAAGAACTGCTCACCTTCAAACGAAGATGTTGGTGGGGGATTATAATTTAAAATCGTTTTTATTAAACTTTAAAATAGGCAGTTGTTAAAACCATAACATCATCTTTTAGTGATTCATGATGAGTGTTCCAATCACTCTTATTCGTTCCTTTGAAATTGGCAGTGTGTGTGTACAAGGTTTTGTGCAAGGCGATGAGGAAATCAACCTACCTTTAATCATTAATTCATATAAACTACCCATATTGCAATTTCTTTTTTGCAATATGATTTGTCATCAGCTTTTTACGTGGAGTAACTTGCACTACAAAGAAGACACGTTTTCTATACATTCTTTTTTTGGTCGATAGAACTAAAAAGGAAACCTCACTAAATTAAAAATTTTATATATAATAATAAAATATTAATGTGCACAAAAGTGACCAAGCATATACATTTCGTATTTAATGTTTTCAGGTAAAGGGTTGAGTTTATCAAAAGTCTTTATATATACATATAGTTGCCTATATATAGTGATCCATTATGAGAGAATCAAAGTAGAGAATAATAGAGGAAATGGGTAAGAGCAAGGTTCTTGTTGTGGGGGGCACTGGGTATATTGGGAGGAGAATAGTGAAGGCAAGCCTAGAACAAGGGCATGAAACCTATGTTCTTCAGCGTCCAGAGATAGGTCTTGACATTGAGAAGGTGCAGATGCTGCTTTCATTCAAAATGAAAGGAGCTCATCTTGTAGAAGCTTCTATCTCTGATCATCAGAGCCTTGTGAATGCCATTAAACTAGTTGATGTTGTAATTTGCACAATGTCTGGGGTTCATTTTCGGTCTCACCACTTATTGCTGCAGCTCAAACTTATTGAGGCCATCAAGGCTGCAGGGAACATCAAGGTATGTTAGATGAGTTCCATGATTTCCCTTCTAAATCTTAGGATTAATTTCGTATATGGTATTTGTCTAATAATTTTTATTTTTATTTTTTGTATAGACTTTAAAGACTTATACTTCCAGATAATATATAATCCTAACCTTTAATGTATTAATAGTTTTATTAACTAAATTATTTGTTGTTATAATATGTTATGAGTTTAATTTTAATCTATTGTTAGTATGTAAATTTTTACACTTTTAAAAATAGTGTAAATATATCACGTAAGTGACTCGATATAGTTTAAGAAAAGTTTCAGATTTAAGTTTATATATATGCAAAAAAATTGTATTGATAGATTTATTTATCACATCCAGATACGCGACTTGTGTTTAATCCTGATTAAATCAGATGAAAAAAAAATATAAATATAGATATTTTTTATTAATTCTTATAAAAATTAATAATTTTTTATATGACAATTTATGATTAAGTGACAGTAGAATTTTTTTTAATATAATTAGGATGTTTTAATTAAACTTCATAAATTATATTATTTGTATAAACACATTATAATCAAACGAACAATCTAATTTTTATTGAAAAAAAAAAACTATAACATTGATCCACTAATCTAACATTAAATTGGTTGCGAATGACATTTTTTTTACAGTTTAATATTTACCAATCTAACTTTATTGCATTTATACTAATAGTTTAATATTTATTAGAATTATATACATTAATAAAGATTAATATGATGTTAAATTGTTAATAAATGATTTTTTATAGTATTTGAATTTTTTTAAAAGCATCAAATATAATATTATTTGCAAATAAGTATATTCATCTCTATCTTATCTTTATCTTTAACATATATTGAAATTATATACCTTAAAAAATTAAAAGGATGAATTTATATCTTATCTATGTATTGTATCCATCAAATTTCCATGTCAAAAAAGATAGAACATTAACTGAGGCATGCGATTTCTTTGATAGGACTTATGGATACATTTACGTAATTAATTGGCAGTATGATTATACATCCCTGGCTGATGAATTAGTTGAATCTGCTTCCAATTGTGGGGTAATACACAATTTAATGGATGGATTCAAACTTATTGCACTAGATACGCTTGTCGGCTACTTGTTGCTGCAATATCTTCCTCTCCACTTGAATATAGCTCCTACAATCTAATTTATATTTAAAAAAAACATGTACTTAATAAATTATAAATTTTATTAAAATAAATTAATAATGTAAAGTATATGTTGTTTATTGGGACAGATTTAGAACACAAATAAGAGAGGGTAAAAAATTAAATAAACTTTCACATATACATTAAAAAGTTTTCAATTATATAGATAGATAGATAGCATATAGCTTATAACTGATAAGGTAACTAAAATTTTATATCTTTTCAAGTAGCTAATTGAATTGGAATAGTTTGATGGCATTAGTCTAAATGTATTAAATAATTTAAAAAAATATATTATATTAATATAATCTTATAATTGAATGAAGAGGGAGAGAATTTTAGTATTTACATTTATGTGTAATTTGTTTTAAAAATTTAGGATAGAAATGAGATAAAATTACTATTTGCTGTGAGTAGAATGTTAGTCTAATTTTTCAAAAAAGTTATAAGGTCTTTTGATTTTGTAATAACGACTCTACTAACTTATTTTAAAAATAAATAAATTATAAACTTTTTAACAAGTTATAAACTTGGGTTACTAAATACAATTTTTGAACTACTTGGTGAAACTAATTATATGATTAATTAAAATGTGTTAATTGATTAAAAAAAGATATTAAAACTATTTAATGTGAGTATAAATTTTTGAAAAGATTAAACATAAAAAAATATTAAAAGTTAGATTCTAATAAGCTAAAAATTACTTGAAATATCTTTCTATTAGTTTCTTGTAATCAAAAACTATAAATTTTTGTTGGCCGAAACAATTGTTTGCAGCTTCTAAATAAGATATAAACAACTATTATAAATACAATCTTTATTTTCTTTTGTTATAGAGTATAAGAAAATCAAACTCAATTTAAGCAATGTTTTGTAACTAATTATTGATAAATTGTGATGAATCAAATGTAAAAAAAAATTATTATATAATTCGATTCACATGCGTTTTAGTTAAAATATATTATATTTCAAAATCATAATCGAATCACAATTTTTTTAATCAATACACACGCAGTGAATTTAATTTGAACTCACATGTTTCTCTTTTGTTTGTTTGTTCTTCCCTTAGCGTTTCTTGCCTTCGGAATTTGGGATGGACCCAGCACTTATGGGAAATGCACTTGAACCAGGAAGAGTCACATTAGAAGAGAAAATGACAGTGAGGAAAGCAATTGAAGATGCCAACATCCCTTTCACTTACGTCTCTGCTAATTGCTTTGCCGGATACTTCGTTGGTAACCTCTCTCAAATGGGGACCCTTCTCCCTCCACGAGACAAGGTGCTTCTCTATGGTGATGCCAATGTCAAAGGTACACAAAATCTTTCAAATCTATAATTCTTTTTCTTATTTCTTATATAAATGTGAGTTGTGTCTTCAATGGCTGTGCTCTTTTTTGGTGAATGTGTGAATTGTAATAAACTAATCATAGTTTAGAAGAAAAATACACGCGACACACGATCCAGTGGCAAAGCTATAAAATATACTAACATCAGTATGTTCTGAGATAGAATGTAATTAATGACTTTAAATATTCTTTTAAAACACTCTTTCTGTGCATTTAAATTATCATCTTTTATCTCTTTTCTTATTACATTATACATATTATTTATTATATTTTGTTATTCCTATTATTCTCATGCTGCCTAACATTTTTCTTACATTATGCATGATTTACGTACGAGTATGTATTGGTGAGCGAAGAACTAACTCAATATATGGGGTTTATGCATGTTGTAGCTGTTTTTATGGACGAAGATGATGTTGCCACATACACAATCAAGACAATTGATGATCCTCGAACATTAAACAAAACGGTATACCTGAGGCCACCAGAAAACATTCTCACTCAAAGAGAGCTAATTCAGAAGTGGGAGAAAGTATCAGGAAAGCAACTAGACAAGTCTACCATATCTGCACAAGACTTTCTTGCTTCCATGAAAGGTAAAAATACACCCATTAAATAAACTAGTTTTTTCAAGCAAATCATGTCAACAAATTAGAAAACGAATAATGTCTCAACTTAATCTTCGAGATTGTAGATATTTGACTTTTGAATTCTTTAGATATTAAAAGCTCTTATTAATCTTTAATTTTATAAAATAAACTATTCATTTTAATTTTGATTTTATCTTATCCTGTTATTTTGTATTAAAAATAAATGTTGTTTTATAAAGTTAATGATTTATGAAAAAAAAAGTAATATTTCAAGTATTAAATTACTACTGATTAATATGAATTCCAGGTTTGGACTATGCAAGCCAAGTGGGAGTGGTGCATTTCTATCATATTTTCTATGAAGGGTGTTTGACAAACTTCAAAATAGGAGAAGGTGCAGAAGAAGCGTCAGAGCTTTATCCAGAAGTCAAGTACACACGCATGGATGAATACATGAAAGTCTATGCGTGATGAGATTATAGAATTAAAATAAAATCATTGTTGTTGTTACAGTAAAACAATTAAAGAGAGATAATGCTGATCGTTGTTGTGAGTGATTCTATTTGTCAGTTGAATGATTTATAATAATGTTTCTTGTAATTGTTAAACTTCATTTTTCCTCTGAATTCCCCAACAAATCAACGTAAATAAAATACGGTAACTTTGATTACTGTTGCTGTTGCTGGGCTTTGAACTATTGAAGAGAAAAACAGACATCCAAACGATGATTTTGATTTGACAAAAAGAATGTAATACATGTTATAAGTGATTTTGATGTGACAAAACGAAAAAGATAAAAAAGTAGGAAGAGTGTTAAATAGGTATTGACCATGTTAAAATGTCTAAAAATCTAAATTGTTTAAAAAGGAAAAAAAAATATTTTGTTGTCTTAAAACGCAACTTCAGTTGATAAAAGAGGGAGAAAATTATGGAGAATACTAGGGAAGAGGTATATATTATTCAATTCAATTATTAAACATATGACAATTCAAAAATTTTATACCCTATATGAAATCATATTGGCTTCCATTCTCCACATGCAGACACAAGGTCATTGCTACCTTTGATGTTTAAGTCAAACTGTATTGAACCCCCTTCAACCTTGGGCTTTTGATCCCTATTTTCTCCTCTCCCTACTTCTTGATAATGGAAAGGTGAGCCATGACTCTTATTATAAAAATCATTCACTTCTACTATGTTATCTTTGCTATCTTTATTCATGTTTTCCATGAAATTTGACAAAGCAGAGTTGAATTCAGTCAATTGAGCTCTTGATGCTTCAAGACTACCTGGCCCATCTAGAGAGAGGTTTCTCTGGGCTTTCTCTAACACAGCTTGCAAATACTTCCCTTGGGCCTCTATTCTCATCTGCAACTTCTTCTGTACCTATTGGCAAAAATTATAATGAAAAGACTTTACAATTGAATAATAAAACTTAGAAAATTTTAATAAATTTTAATTAAAAATAAAAATGTGTTAGAGAGTATTTTATTAGCATCTTTTATATAAGAATAATCTTAACTCAGTGAAGTTAGCTATTTGACTCTGGAAAACCAAATTCTCAAAACACAATTGAATGCAAGTTAAAAATGATAAATACCTCCAACTGTTCTTCCAATCTCTTTTGAACTTCAATCTGACGCCTCAATGCTTCAGCTATTGGGATTTCTCTGTATTGTTTATGGAATATAGTTAGGAAAAGGAGAAACTAAACAGGTGCATGAGTTGCATTTACACAAATTAAAATTGCTAATTAGGGAGTTAAGAAGTTTAGATGAGAATTTGGGTCGTTGAAATTATAGTCATGCAATATAATCTAAACAAAAACGTTAAATTATTACTTAAATTATAACATACCCCCTTTCATTGTCACATCTGTAACTAGTGTTAGGCTCTGAAGAACGATTGCTGAAATTTACATACGAGCATCCTAACAGAAACAGAAACAAGGAAAGAATATTATCAAACATTTTCATATTTTATATTGTCAATTTTAAGCAAATAGCCAAAAGTAATATAAAGAATAAACTATGGACAGGGTATCGATGTTTGTCAAAAATTGAAATGAACTCACTATTATTCTCTTTGTGCAGTTCTTCATTTTGTTTTCGAGCCTGTTGTCCAAGTCTATACTTCTGCAAATTTACATATAACAAGCAATACCATGTTATGCCTCCAAATGGCAATTATTTGATGATGGCTGGGAGAAAACAAGAAAATCAAAGACAGAGAGGAAGACAAATTTGAACAATACATAGCATAATTTTAAAAAATAATAATAAAGAGAAAAACCGGGCCACGAGTGAGGTGTTCTGCCTTAAATATTCCAAATTATTGGTTCTTTACCAATCCAAAATTAATATCATTAGTATTCTCACTCCTATTTTACACTGATTTACATCCTTCTACAATATTATTGTCTGCTACAAATTATTGATATTATCAAATCAATAACTTATTTTTTGTCTTTTCACTTCTCCATCTATTTTTCATTCTACATTATTAAACGGTATAATGCCAGAACTTTCAAGAGAAAAAACTGGTTACCTGTAAATGACTCTTCAAATGATATAGTGTCAGACCTTTCAAGCCCATTAACCTCATAACAGACTTTGGAGTCGCCTCTGAACACAAAGCAAACCATTTATTAATGTCATTTTGTGACACGCAAGAACCTCCACAACCATTAAGCCAATAGATTAGAACATAATTTGAATGATAAGCATTTACTAAACTAATATTAGATGTGTAACTTTATATAAAGGGATTAGATATTTCAATTACACCTTCTCCTTTCATTAATTCTCCTAATGGACCAAATATTTGTACCTTCAGGAAAAAAAAGCACAAATAAGGAAAAATAAGAAATGCTGGGCTGCAGCATCATGAATATTATGTTGTGTCAGATCAATTTCTTGATTTAGTGCAGCAAGTAATTGAAGGTTCTAAAAACACCCCATCGTTTAACTTATTTTATACCCTACTTTCAACATCAATTCCAACCAAAACTTCTCTTTCAAGTTAACATTCGTTTACCAACACAAAGTAACATAATCAAAGAAAATGAAACAAGAGGTTATACATACTGTCAGGGCCACCAAGCTTTGTGACAGCATCAACAAACCGGTCATGAAGATCTGCTGTCCATCTAAGCCTTGGTTTTGGGTCTCTTGTCATAGTCATCACCACTCCATTATAAGCTTCTCTTCCACCACCCTCCATCACTCACTTTCACACTTCAAACCTCACCCTCCTGCGGTTTCACTTCCAAGTAGCCTTCTTTTTCTTATAAACCTCCAAAAAGCAAATTCGAACCAATCCCACTTGCAGCTTTTGCTTTATACCTCAGCCAAACCGCGCCTTCATTCGATCAAGAGGTCCCAAAAGCGAAAAAAAAAGGCAAAAAGAGAAGATATACCATATACCCCTCTGCAACTAGCTACAATGTTTTTGCCAATGGAAGAATCTGTAATTCCACAACACAAACTTCGATTATTATTAGCAATTGGAACTAACCAAACGAGTCAGAGAACAGAACAGAACGTGATTGATTAGACCCAAACAGAGGAGTGCTGCAGTTAAAAAAAGAAACAGAAAAAAAAATTGGCTCAATAGCGTAAGAAGCAACACAAACAAAAGCGTCTAATACGACGTTTGATGATCTTATACAATGCTCTTTTGTACAGTGATTCTAATTATTGTTTCTAACCATGAAAAATTAAATAATAAAACACTGTATTTGGGTGCAATGCATTACGATTTGTGCGTTATACTATGATTAATTAAAATTAATCATAAATATAATTTTTATAGTAATTGATATAAAAATTATTATTATATTTTTCTTTTACAAATCATGTTTGTAATTTTTATTTTTTTTGTTTAGAGCATTAATAAATGTTCAGAAGCAATTATATTTAAGTCGTAGTTTTACAAAACTTATAATATATGATTAAGTGAAAACATTTAATATATTTAAATTAATGGTATGATAACGTCCTCTTAGAAATTAGCAGTTAGCTAGAATTGTTTGAGGAACATGTTAGAGGAAATCTCGGCGACGAATCCGAAGTAACATCGCGGATACTACGTTATTTAATTGGGGAGCTGAAAGACTTATGTGCAGCACGTTGTGACCGTTGGATCCGAATAATAGAAGAGAGGGGAGGGTGTTAGAACGATCGAACGGTAGAGATTGTGGGGTGGGAGCCACGTGGATGCCAGCGTGGAAGATTCGGAACAAAGGGAAAATGAGAGTGGAAAAGGGAAGGTCACATTACAGTTTTAAGGGTCACATGGATTGGATTGGAGGGAAAGGGATGTGGATCCCACCAAATTAACACATTTCGGTTTGTCCGTTAAGGATCGTCCCCCAAGAATATTCCCAAATTACCTATTTTTAATAAATTATATTAAAAAAATAATTTATCTTATGCTTAACAACGTAAAAATTAGTACATTTTGATTTCATTATGATAAAATGTATTTATAGATGATATATTATAAAAATATTTAATTTTTATGAAAAAAATTTAATATCTAACCGTTATTTGTTACAAAAGAGTTAAACATTGTTTAATTAGGTCATAATGATGTTTCACTAAGATAGTAGCATTCTTGGTTTAAGAATTGTTTAGTCCGTGAACTCTTAAAGACCTGATAATGCTTCAAGATCTAACACCATGGGTTCTCTTCTGTCTTGTTTACTCTCTTTTTATCGTCTTCTGCTTATTTTTATATACCTAGATTTTATTCCTTTTGTTGTTTGGGTCCATTTTTATATCCCATCATTAATTCTTACAATGTTGTTTAAAACTGAAATTCTAGTGTAAATGAGAAACTCAGCTTGTAGAATTGAAAAAAATTTGCTGCTGATTCTTCATTTATCCGACCTTGTGACAATTCCTTTCCCTTGGGACAAACTCTTGCTAGCTTCTTACCTAAACTTTTACAAAATGGTTAAGCAAAATTATTTATTAACTTTTCTCCTCACATATAATGTTTGCTAGTCTTGGCCTGTACTTAAAATGAAAAGCTAGACCAAGCAATTCTTTTCAAGAGGGCTTTAAAAAATATTTTAACGAACGAAACTTCTAAAAACTAATTTTAATAGCTTTTATTTTTGCTTCTTTATTTTAAATTCTAAAATACAAAACTAGTCAATAAAATTTAACTTTAAATTTGAAAATCATATTTTAACTTGATAGTAATTGTAATCTTAAGAAAAAGGTAAGGTAAAACATTATATGCTAACATATATGCTTGGCTTTTTTCGCATTGTGGTACAAAACGACAAACCATGTGGTAAATTACAATAACAAACGGCAATGTGATAGAGTATGGTACTACATGACAAGTTGGCCTGGCAATCCAATCTACTGTGGATCACATGTTTGGTTGGGCTACAATGTCGTGATGGTGGGAAAATGTTCGAAATCGCATGCCAACAGCATAGGTTGTTTCTTCGAAAGTTGACAAATAACTTTTTTAAATTGTAGTAGCCAACCTTTGTAGCATTTTCTAAAGACAGCTTCTCCTTTTAATACAAGTTTTTCTTAGGCAACACTGCAAATTCCTTATGTTTATGCTATTGCATTTGAGAACCTTCATGACACCAGGGGGGGCTAGTGAAGGACATGAAATGGAAGGAGGGGGAAAATATCCTAAGTTGTAACATAATGCTGATTACTGTCAAGAATTAACTAAAATAAGATAAATGTTACAGTGCCCTTAAGGAATTAATTAAATTTTTTTAAAATTATTGTTAAATAACATAACAACAGATCTTTCCGTAGTTTTCAATACACTTCTAACTTAATTTTTTATTTATGGATTCCTTAACTTTAGATCACAGCAGGACCCATTAGATAAAAATAAGAAAGCTATCGACAAAAACACTAAAGATGCCACATAGTATTCTTGTCATACATATTAAAAAACACAAACTTTGATTACTATTATTTCTCATTTATATAGTGATCAGATTTGTAAACTTTTAGAAAAGCCCTCATATATACAAAATAGCCCTATATGCATAGGTTCATAAGCATAGCCCAATAAATGTTTTCCATCTGCATCTGCAATCAATCCTCATCAGTATGACGAGAGGGGGCTGTAATTGACCTTCACAGACAATAAGAAATCATTAACTAAATTGATTATCAATTCCAACACATTTTTACCATAACACATTTTTGCTAACCTATGGCTAGTGACTGCTTGACTAAAATTAGAGCCTGCAAGTCATGCTTATGATCATAAATGTTTTTTAATATGTATGACAAGAATACTACGTGCATGTAAACAAAAACAAGTTAAAATGTTAAACAATGTGATGAAGGGTCCAAAAAACAATGGTAATCATTACTCACTAACATTTCCAGGCCCAGCCCACTTTACAACTTCAGCAAACATGTTAAACAATGCTTTTTGGATCCTTCACCACATTGGAGGCATCAACAGCTTTACAAATCCCGGAAGAGCAGTGCACTAACATAAGGTGAACAATTAATTGAAAACCATTTGTGAAACAGCCAAAATTCATGTCCAACATTCATTTGAAAAACCTTAAACTACTAAAACAAAAACCCAATTTTGCAAACAAACGGTAAGAATGGGGTTAAACAGGTATGTAATAAGAAGCAATTAATATGTGAAATAATTAGTTACTTATTAGGCATGCATTTAATTAACCCCACATTGATGTACAGTGGAATTGAATTCAAAAGGAAGCAATGAAATGGCAGGGAAAATTTTTCAAAGATGAAATAAAGAGAGGATGGCGACTAATGCATGGTGGAACTAACATATTACTATAGAGTAAAAAAAGTTGAATAAGTACTTGAAGAGTGAGCAGTGGATCATGTTGCACATTGAGCAACACATATAGCCCACAAAAGGACCTATGGTACTGAAATTGTTTTAATAATTGAAATTGAAAACATGATTAAGATCATAGTGAGACGAAACAAGAATTACTAGTGAACGAGTTTCAAACTCAGTTGGACCGGGCTAACCGTTTAGGCAGTCCTCTGTCTGGTACGGTCATACCCTCAAAACCCCATTATTCAAGTCATCATTCATCAATGTGGAGGATGCCTACCACCACCCTAGTCAAATCTTATCAGTCACTTTCATTATTTTTATTTATATTACTACTATATTTATTAATAATTTCTATTTTTTTTATTTAGACGACAATTATCTTCTGCAGAAGAGAACATTTTTCAGCTGAGATTATCATAAATATTCAACACTCATTGCCAAGTTAATATTATTTTCATAATACTGTCCGGTATGCACAGTTGTTATGTATTGGAATTTTTAACGTAAATTGATTTTACCGTGTTAGATATTTATTTTAATAATTTTACCTAAACGTTCAATATACATATGCTATACTTTTTTTGTATACTTCCATGTTATTATTTCAAATGTCTTAATTTACTTTCTTATACCCTCTAATGAATTTTTCTTTTTGTTAATTACTCTAGAAAGCTTACATCTGCCACTTTTTAATGGTAAGCAATCTAAATTATCATATAAAAAAAAACTTAAGTTCCGTAAATATAAAAAAGAAATTTAAAAATTCAAAATTCTAACTATAAGATTTCCTCGATTCTCTCTCATCTTCGTATTGTCAATTTAGATTACTGCGTTTTCAGATACGGAATTACTTTTGTCTTGTATTAGACATCCCATTTCAAAAACAGATAATCTATTACTCAATATCATTAAACTTAACCATAATAATAATCATAATAATAATAATAAGTAGAGTCTTTGTCTGTTTTTACTCATCTGAGGCACTAATAAACTAGGACCAAACTAGATATAAAAGAGGATGGAGATGACAAAGACTCTAGAGAGTGAAACTGAGAGAAAGCCAGTTTTCAGAAAATTTACTTCAATGAAGACTGCATAGCAGTGGCTTAAAATAAACTAATCCCAAAACACCTCACTATGAAAGAGATTTACAATAGTCTGCAGCCTTACTACTTAATATTGTCAGTTATTACATGTTTGATATGCTTAGCAAGAAGTTAAAACTTTGTACAAAATTGCAGACTGATTTCTATTGGCAAAACCAACAGGAAAAGGACTAGTTTTAGTCCCCTATCCCAATAATAACACACTATTGGTCCATTCCTAATCTACTTGTGATTCCTAATCCATTCACCAAATTGAAGCTAATGAAAAAATCTGGAGTCATATTAGGCATGGTACTTCTTTAAAAACTATTATGAATAGTCATGGATGACAATTATGTATTCTATCTATGTTAATTTCGTGAGCCCAGTTTGACTTTTATACACCATGTTTTTCTGATAGTGTTCTGTTACCTTCCTAATTCAATTGAGAAATACAATGTCCAGAGTCCATATGCATAAAAAAAGGTTTTTTTTTTTCTTTTAAAAAAATCACATGAAAATAACACAGACAAGCTCAGATTTAAGAAAGTTGAACAACACAAAGAAATAGGCCCCAAAAAATTTTAAGCCAAAAACTTGCCTTATTCAAAACCAAAATGATTAGCATTTGCAACTTGTTCACAAATCTATCTGGTTTAACTCTGAGAAGTTAGTTCATCACTACCAAATGTATCAATTTCAGGAGGTGGCTGTTGCAGGACCTGCAAAGGGGGTCTGAAAAAAAATATTGTCCTGTCAACTATTTCATAAACCCAACTGGCCATTTGTGGAAAAGACTACAACTTCCAGATAAAGTTTAAGCACAGTGAAGGAGAATTCCATGGAGATTTTTAAATAACAAGTGAAAAATTGATGCAAGTGTGAGTTTGAAGTCTCAAATGGTTTGAAAATAAGCTTTAAAGAAATAATGAGAAGAGATTTAGACTACTCATAATATATTATAGTCATATTTGAATTTACTTTTAAATGTTGATTATTCTACATGTACTTTAATGTTAGTAATTGTAAGTATTTTTATATATTGAATTCGCATTTGTAATTTTTTTTAACATGTTTCTAAACAAATAACAAGAGTTTGAATGAAGATGTAATGTCATGTTCACTCCTGTGTTATGTTGCTTTCTATATTTTTAAAATTATTTCCTTTTCCTTACTCTATAATTTTCTTTTTCTTTCTTTTTAACTAATGATCCAGAGGTCCCACATAAAGTAAATTTCAAACATCCTCTAGAATACTAGTACTTGACTATTTGATCAGATCAGTTTAAATTCAAGTACCCAGCCCCTAACACCTCAGATTCATTGCACAAGTTCTTAGAACTTATGAGCAATTTATAAAATATAACTCTGGTTTCCACAACAACACGGTTGGAGTCTTGCTCCAACAGTATTTTAATTTGATATTCTTACACAGCATAGCATAGACATTCATTGTTACTTTAACTATGACAAGTTTTTCACTTACAAAAGTAGAGACTAGAAACCAATGGTCCTTCAACTTCCACCAAAATTGACTAGTGTAAATTTCTCCACAGACAATCCTTCCATTACATCACAAATCAATCCAAACAAAAGCCATGCTGAGTATTCTTTTGAGTTTACAAAATATATTAACACTTTCCAGAGAATTATGAGTTATTGGTTGTCAGAACTGAACTATGACAAGTGTTTTAACCCAATTATAACATCTAACTTTAGCCAATTTTCTTGTGAGATTTGATTCGAGCTGTGTAAGTTCCTTAACTGAAACAAGGTAAACTCAACTCAACTCAACACAAGGTGATGAACTAATTAACATGGAACTAGTTATATGCAAAAAAGAACAGCTTAAAAATAATGATTTTATTATCATCGACAATTAAAATTGATGTTAAAATTTATCTAAAATTATGTTGCCATTACAAAGGCGGACAAAGTTCCTGAATATTGGATCCACATTAACATGTATTAGTTTATTTTTATGTTTTATTTAATATATCCACTTTATTTATATTTTTCGTTTTATTTATTTTAATTACTCAATTTATACGTCTTTATGATAAAAAACAAATTTTAAAAATGTTACTGTCAATACATAGCCATGATTTTAACAAATTAAAAGTACTAAGTATTTCAATATATTATACTAATAAAAATTTATTAAAAATTTATTTATTATATTTTTATCTCATAAATAATTTTTAAATAAATGAAAGTATGGGTTTAGTTAAAGTCTTGAAATACAAAAAAAAAACATTTAATTTTTTTTATTTAGTAGACAGGAGAATTTGTAGGAAAAATTAAAACTGTTCAAAATTTATCATTTTATTTCTTAAAAGAGCTAAAGTTAGCTAAATTGTAAGTTTTAGGATCTTGCCAATAAATATCTTAATAGCGTTAAAGAATCAATAAATAAAAAATTTGATTGAAATTTATGATAATAAAATGTTGATAATATTAAATATCATACTTATATATATATATATATATATATATATATATATATATATATATATAAGATAATTATTCCTTAAAATCACGGTTAGCATTCTCCAAATTTTTATCAGATCTTATATTTCACACGTTAATTTGAGTGAAAGATCACTTGTATTTTAAATAAACATAATAAATAAAATGAATAGAAAATAAGTTCCTAGATAAGAGCAAAATAAAAGCAGAGTATAACCACGTATGAATAAAGTGAATGACCTTATTTTACCCAGGCTATTCATGGTAAGTACAACTAGAAGTAATATTTGATTTTTAAAATTAAAAAAAGGTTTCATATTTTTAAAAGGCCAAATAATTTTTTTAGGGATAGACCATTTATTTTAATGCATTATATTTTATTTTTATTTAATTGATATATTTGTTCATAGAACGATTATTTAGTAAAATAAGCAAATAATAAGTCTTCAATAAACAATAATTATTCGAAAATTTCTTTTCGAATTTACATATTGTAAGAAATCTTCATTTATTATTATTAGCTACTCAATGACTATCCTTATTAGAATCTGTATTTCAAATATTTAGTATACCCTCATTTAATAACCATCCAACAAAAAATAATAATCATTCACAAAAGTTTTCCTTGAATTCAATAATCCAATATAAAAGTGTATTTATCAACTACTTATTAAGAAGAAATGCTACTTATTAACAAGAAATACCAATTCAAAATTTTCTTATAAAGTTATTTTTCCTTTAATTAAAATTTAAGAATAATCATCTCAAAATAAATTTAATGTATAAATTGTAGCCAGCCTTTGTGACTGAGTTTGGGAAAAACTACAAAACCTTGTACAAGTCGAAAGATTTTAATCCAGTAGTTATAAGCTGGGTATTTAATTTGACCGTTTGATAAAAAACCGGTAATGCGCCTCCAAATGCGCACTGGCATGTGTATATATCCATAGCTTAACCAGCAAAATTGATTTTAAATAATAATCAAATAAGCATTACATAAATAGGGTAGTTTGAACTATTATTATTATTATTATTGCCAGAAGTTAAAATTACAATTGGCTGCATGGAAGCATCAAGCGAGGCATGTTAAATTATGTAAGTGGACAGTATCTCAATGCTTGTAACTTCTCACAAGGTGGCAGAATCTGGCAAAGCAAAGGTAAAATATCAGAATAATTTTAAATTTGCAAAGAACAAACATGTGGTTGCCGGTTAAGCATCCAATAACCCAAAAAATAACATGCAGCTAATATATTTATTGGTAACATCAAATAGTCCAAAACATTTTGAAAAAAAAACCATATTTACATTTTTCCAGAACAATGCAGCTGATATAATTTACTGCAAGAAGTATATATAATACAAATATAGTTTATTTATTGGTTTCTTAGGAGCAAGTGTCCTTCATAAATGAAATAGATACACAAAAACAGAATACTGTAGCGGGGCGTTTCCTTTCTTCGTAACGTCTTTACTGTGATGATATTATATCAATTCCCTAGAGACAAAAAAGAAAGAAAATAAAGTAAGGTGGAAATTATAGTAATATATACACTTTCACTTAAATAAGGGCCTTTCACACCCTAGAAAGTTTCATTAGCCCAGCTGTGCACAGTTGCACACACACCCCCCCCCAAACCAAACCCTTTAGTGTAGTGTCACCTTTGTTTTGTTAAACGTCTCAAAACACATTTTCCTCTTTTCCCTGCACTCTTCTCTCGCCATTACTCTCTCTGACATCCCTGCTTTGGTTTTGTGTCTTCAAAGCACGTACAAGACCTGATGAAAGAGGTAACGGTTGAAGCTGATGGTGGGCAAGGAGGAGCACAAGGTGCACCTGAGAGTGGCAAAGGAACGGCTAGGCCAGACTTACACAACAGGGCCATGAAAATTTTGAGGGCAAGAGAGCCTTATAATGGGTATGAAGAAGTGGGAGAGAAGCCTTCAGGGTTTGAAGTTATGGGGTGGTACCTTTATGAGTTCTGCTTCTACTTTGTTCAAACTGTTCTCATACCTGTTGTGTTCCCTCTCATAATCAGTCAGCTACAGCGTCTTCCTACAGATTCAGCTCAAGAATGGGCCAAGAACCACCCAGCCATGCACTGCTCACAGAAGGAAATTCATCTGTGAGTGTCTACATTTTTTTTATTTAATTTTTTGCTTGTGTTTTGGAAAATTTAAGGTCTTTTGTTTTTTTTAAGATTTTTCTAACTGTCGTGTTTCTTTTAAGGAAAATAAAAATTGTTACTTTGTGTTTTTTTCTTCTGCCGTCTTGATCTAAACTGGTTTATGTGTTTTGGGTGTTGCAAAAAATTTGAAAAGGTTGTGTTTTGCCATGGATGGGTAATTGGGTAGTAGAAAAAAAGGATTTTTTATTATGGTTTTAAAAAACTAGGCAGCGTGACTAACTGAGCATAGGGTTCCTTTTTAAAAAAAAAATAATATTTTGGGCCGTTGGTTCCACTATAGTTCGCAATCATGAAAAGCCGTGTCCTTTGTGGCTTTCTTACTATCCTACTTTACTCTTACTCTACTCAAGAGTTAAGATTCCTTTTTCAAAGCACTTCATTACCCATCGGACATCAACCCCATTTATTAACTATGCTTTCATGTCGACCTTTGATGTACAAGAAAAAACAAGCTAAAGTTATGCACTTGTATACTTGGCCAAAACAAGAGAGAGAAAGAGAGTAAAAATCTATGCTTTCCTCCTGGGGAGTATAAAAATGTTTGTCGGACTCGCCCAAAAGTCATCACTCATCTTTTACACTTTTAAGATATTCATAATATTATCCTCAACGGTAAAATTTACCATTATGTGTTGCTTTACTCCACTTAAGCATACTTTATTTCATTATTAGAAAACACCAATAGTTACCCACCCTAATCACTTCTTTATATTAGTTTTTAATACATGAATTTTTATATGAGATCTATGTTATTCCTACTTATCAATTTTCTTATTAAAATGAAGAGTATAATATAAAAAAGTATATGCTTTAATATTGCGTAAATTTGAATTCTTTCCTTTTCGAAGCATTTAGCCATCCGTTTTGTAAAATACTTAAAATTTAAATCAAGTCTTGTCGGCAGTTAGTTTACGTTGGTAAAGATAGCTACTTTAACGACAATTCACAGTGCCGACAGCATGAAACTGTTTCCATAATTTATCCATTTACACGATTTATTTTTTTAACAAAAATGCTACCACTAAGAATTAACTGATTTTTTCTTCTTGCACAACGCAAATCTTACAAAACACAGCCTTAGAATTACCCAAACGAACATACAGTACTCACTACAGGATTACTATCTATAACTACAGGAACTAGACGAAAATACAGTACTACTCACTATGTAAACAGTGGTATCCATGTGCAATTGCATGTTTCCAAAGTTCCAATTATAATCATGGCAGCATTCCCATTAACGGCAGCAGTTTGTGCTTGAGCATGATATTTTGTGCCAACATTAGAAGACAATATTTGAATGAATAATCATGCTATTTAGTTAATTTAAAAACATCTAACCAAGTTGACACATCTGAGTTGGATAAGGTTTTTGTTTGTTGTTATTGTTGTAACTTGTAACAAAGTTGACCCATGTGTAATGTTGTTTTGCAGGTATATCAAACTCACAAACCACACCATAAGAACTAGTGGTGGTTCAAATTTCTCCTCTTTGGAATGGACATCAATTGCTTGGGCTACAGGTCTAGCCTTGGCTGCTCCAATTCTTGGCTTCATTTCCTTCCACCTTGATGGTCACTTCCCTAAGCTCATCTTAGCATCAGCCACAGGCATTGGAGTGTTCTTCTGCCTCCCTGCAGGGTTCTTCAAAGTCACAGCCATCTTCATTCCCTACATTGCTGGCATTGTTGCAGCTAGCACAGTTGCTAGTGCTGCTCACACACACCATCTCGGCCTCATGATTCGATGCTTCACAGGACCAATTCTTAAGAGAAGTGAATTCTCCATTAGGCAAGGGGTTTCTAGCAGACTCTCCCTTCATGCCACAGCTGCTGGTTGCTTAGGAGCTGCCATAATTTCATCATTCACTTATCATATGCTTCGCGAACTAAATGACAATGATCGCGATGTTATGAGCTTGTGGGTAGTTTCAATCTTCAGTGGCCTAATATGGCTTGTGGGGGTCTTACATTTGGTTACAGCCATAAGCAGAACCACTGATTCCATCTCTTTTTCATCAAGGCTTCACCCTTTTTCTATCTTCAAATACCCTCATGCAATTGGAGGCCTTGGTGCTGTTTTCCTCTCCTCATTCACCACAATGTCAATTTTCACTGGAGGAGTGATTTTCATAGTGGGCCACCTATGCATTAAGCCATTGCATTTGCTCTATTTCTGGTTAACTTATTTCCTTTTCCCTCTTGTTTCTTTGTCATTATTACAACCCTTGCTGAACGTGATCAAGATGAATTCTGTGAAAATGCAAATCGTGGGGTTCATTCTGTCACTTCTATCATCCGGGTTTGGATTCTATTATGGTCACAGCCACTGGAAATGGGGTCACTTAGTGCTATTTGGTGCTATTCAAAGCACAGCAACAGGGATTTTGCATGCTTTTGGAAGGGTATTGGTGTTGGACTGTGCTCCTTCAGGGAAAGAAGGTGCATTCTCTATTTGGTATGCTTGGATGAGAGCTGCAGGGTTGTGCGTGGGGTTCACGGTGGGATCGGTGGCGCCAGGCCGCATTAGAACATCGTTTGGAGCTGCGTTTTGCACTGCCATTGTTGGAATTGTGGTGCTGCTTTTCGGAAATATCAGTGATGTTGGAGGTGCTGTTGCTGCAGGACATGTCAGAGATGATTGTGAGAGAAGTTCGGGTGTGCCTGGCTTAGATTCTAAAGAATCTGCTCGCGTTTGAATAATCAAATGATGAATCATTATCGTACATTATTGGCTTGTGCGTTATATAATTCTTTGCAAATGATGTTAATGCATGCAAGAGTAAAAGGTTTCATTTTATGATTGATTTTAGATGTATTCTAGTGGTTAGTTACTGTTGTTGCAACGCATGCATATGTTTGATCTCTGTTGAGGATTTGGGATCTCGCCTGTGTAACTGTGTTATAGTATTTTGTCATATTTGTTTTCTCTTATACATCATTTCTGCCCCATGCAATCACCTTACTTTCATCTTGCATCATTCATAACATTTAAATATTTCTAGTATTCACCATGAAATTTAAATTGTTACTCTTTGAAAATAATTCATATCTTCTGCCACCATTTTAATGATTCTGTGTCTTATTTAGGGCTTGTTTGCTTTGATGTTTGCACACCTGTAATCGATTTCTAATTTTAAAAATGTGTTTAAGAATTTTCAAACAGGGATGTTTAATGGTAGTGATAAATTTTTGCTTTCAATTGAATTGATTTTGTCAGCTTTACAAATATATCTTCAATTTTTATTTTCTTAAAAGTAAAATGGTGTTTTCGGGTAAGTTTATTTTAAAAAGAAGTAATTGTTTTTATTTTTATTTTTCGGGTAAGTTTATTTTAAAAAGAAGTAATTGTTTTTTTTTTTTATAACTTCTGACAAGAGTTTTTGAAAGAAATTAATATTATTCAATGTGAACTTTTTAAAATTAATGGTTTCATTTCATGAGTCGTTACCCTTAAAATTCACTCCAACTATGTTTACTCTTTACCTAGGCTCTAAATGTGTTTTGTGTAAAGACCCTAAAATGTACTAATCAATCGTGTTAATCAACTAATAATGAGGTTTCTTAAACATGCTTTTGGGGTTCGATTCTTATCTTGTGAATGAGAAAAGTTTTGTTAAGAAAAAAGATAGTATTTTTTTTTATTTGCAACATACGTTATTTGTTTTGGTAATTTTTTCCCTCAAAAGTAGAAAAAACAAGATGAATTTGGTCCAACAGGCTCGCCTATTTAATCAACCTAAAGTGGTGTGTTGGGCATAGAATTTTGCACCTGTTAATTTGCCTAACACACCTTACTTTAGCATGTTAGAATTCAGATTAATGATTGGTCGAAATAGGTTGACTTGTTGAGCCTTTTTTCTATACATAAATTGAAACAATAAAATTTTATTTATTTATTATTTGATTATTAATGTAATACTATTTTAATGAATTTTATGTTTTTATTAATTTTTAAACTTTGGCTTCTGAGTTCGTTAATTCACTGGATAACCCTTAAATAGACTAGATTAAGATTTCTAATCTATTTCAAAAAAATGAAATTGAATATTTTTTATGGATTTTTAGGGACTTAAATTGAAATGGATTCACTCGCTTTTCCACCTTCTAATAAGGAAATAGTTTTGATTGGCTATTGAAATTCCAGTTTGAGAATGATATATATATATATATTATTTTTTTCATATTTACCAATAAAGATTTCAGGTGTTCAAAAGTAATTTTTAAGTTATTTATTCAATTATATTCTTCAGTGAAACTTAGATAAATATCTGTTGCAATTGCATTAGGATGTTCTCCTTAAAATTGGGCTTCATTTAACCGTAAATGCCTACAAGCCCAAATAATGCAAAAAAAAAAAAAGATCTTTCCCCAAAAAAAAAAAGCACTTCGGCAATCGCAGGTTTTGGTTGGATCGGAAAAATCTGATTCCATAGACTGCAAAATGATGCAGAGATGGGTGAGCAAGCTTCGTTCGTTGGCCGTTCAGTCTCGTCAAGCTCTACCCCCACCCTCTTCTCGGCGTCTCCTCCACCACGCGCCGCCGCAACCCTTTCACTCTGCTCCCGCTTACCGCACTCCTCCTCCTCTTCCTTTCAGTTTCTCTTCATGGCCTCTGCACCCATCTCGTCCTTCGCTATTTTCTCCCTCCGTAAGCCAATTAAGAGTAAAGCTTCTTATATTCCCTCTTCTTTTTTACGTAATTTGATGTTAATATTTTGGGATTGTAATTGTAATGTAGTTGGTTCAAGTGCGGCACGTGTCGTCAAGGGAACGGAAGCTGAAGAGAAAGCCAATGACACCAGTCACTTCCAAAATTAAGAAAATCAAAATGAAATCGTATTCGTGCGTTTCATTCTCATTGCTAAATGCTATTATAATATACCCTTTCAGTGTTTGTGTGTGGAGTAAGTGATTTTGTTATGCTTAGAGCAGGTCTTATAAATCGAGGTTCAGAACAATGAACGATGGCAACATCAGGCGTTGGAAAGAGGGCAAGCGTCATAATGCTCATTTGAAGGTTCCCAATTTTATTTTTCTTTTCTTTTACTTGGGCAATTTGAGGTTTTGTGATAGGTGATAATGTGATGGGTTGTTGAAATGAAAAGTGAGTTTCTTTATGGTTTTATCTTAATGTCAACATCAATTGTCTAATAGATCACATCGTACTCATTACCAAATATGTGAGCACAGTCCTTCACAAAGTTGTTAACTTCAGTATATTCCCAGTGAATAGCTGCTGTCTTTCTTAAGCAAGTTTCCTGTGTCATTTGTAACACATTACTTTCTGAATTCCTTAAATAAATAGGTGAAGCAGGAAACAATGGCAAGTTTCATGCAGATGAGAGAAATTATGTTTGAAATTGAGGTCATAATAGTTGTTTCTAACTTAATAGTGACTGATAGCTAGGTTATGATTTGAATTTCTTCATTTGTGAAAAATGGAGCAAGTTAGCAACCTGTGTTTCTTTAGGATGCACGAGTGTGAAATTTGACTGGGTGATGAGGCAATAATTATGCTGTGCTTGTATTTGATGTGTTAAATAGCATTTTAAAAAATCAGAATGCAAAATGGTCATATTAGCAGAACTGGCATTTGTTGTGGCTGTATGCTCTATAGTCAATACAGTATAGTATGATCGCACAATGTATAAATATTACTAAACATATGATTCATCAAAGAGCAAAAAATAGTTGCATGTCATCGCCTTTGTTTTGGGTTTGTGCTGTGATGATGTTGTGGTATACAATGCATAACATGTTTCCTATTATTTTCATCATAAATGTTGGGCAGTTGGCACCAGGCTCTAGGCTGATCATGACTGAGAAGTGCTAGCAGCTTCCTCTTTTCCCATGATATGGATACTTGACATAAATACTAACATGTTTGTGGGTCACTGGTATTCTTCAGTAGTAGTACTTGTAAACTCCCCTATTAGCTGTCTCTTGTGAAAATTGCTTGTGTGAGGTGTTGCAATACAGAACACTAACATAATACATCTATTCATTTAAAAACTGAAGACAAGGGAATGAAATTTACATTTGAACAAATTAAAATCTTTAAATCAATTATAAAATCGACATGGTTACCTAGCAAACAAAAGGAGGGCAGGGCAGGGAAGATGGGCAAAACAGTTAACATTGCTTCTCTTAAATTCTCTCTCTCTCTCTCATACAATATTTGTGATTTAGCCAATTTTTTTAATTATATGAAATATATCTTCTGACATTTCACTGTCCTTGAACTTGATGAATTTCTGGTATTCATTGCAGTCAAAGAAAGCAAAACGTAGATTGAGAAAACCCGCTATAGTCCCAGCGGCTTATGCAAAAGTAATGAAGAAGCTCAGTTTTTGTGGTTAGAACATTGTAAGTTGCTGTTGGTCGCAGCATGAAAGAGGACCGATCAGGTTTTGCTTTTTGACTCTGATCATCTGTCCTCTTTCACATTCTAGAATCTGTAGAACGAGCAAATTACAAAGCAATTTCTTTCTTATTTGTTTGATTGGAGCAGTTAGAATTGATAACATCTCGAGGCTATGCCTATTCAAAGTGGTATGTTTTAGTGGACAACATATGCAATATTTTTAGCATGCAGCAGTGACCGATTGACCCCTTGTTGTGATACATTTGATTTGTCTTCTGTCTGATAAAAATATCGTGTCCAGAATATCTCTACTTAATGTTTAAGGAGCTTTGAATGCGCGTGCGGGTTCAGTGCAAGTTTTTGGCTGAAAATAGCTACATGATCCCTTTTAGACTATAAACAATTTTGTTCAAATTGAAAGATCGAGTAAACGATAGTTCAACAACGTGCTGTAATCATTGTGATGGAGTAATTTGATGTTAAAACTTCGCCAAAATAAAAGACGGGAAAATTATAAAACAGTGCCAGCTCGTTTAGGAATACTAAAAACTTTCATCCATGCTAAAATTATGGAATAACAATATTCTAGTAAACACCAGTTGAAAGTTCGGTGCACTTTCAATTTTGGGTTAAATTAAAAATATATATTTCTATGTAAAACATTTATATTTTAGTCCTTATTTTTATTTTTATATGAAAAATTTATGCTTTATTTTGGTTCCCATATTTTTTTTTTCTATTTTTGTCATACGCCTAACAATATTTTTTTCCAATTTAATCTTTATGTAAAAAATAATTTAAAACTATTATAATGTCAACAGAGTGGAAATGAATTTATAATTTTTTATATAATGATTAAAGTATAATATTTTTTCATACAAGGAGTAAACTAAAAATTAGTGTCACAAGGAGCGACTGTATTTTCAAAATTTAACCTTATTTTTACGATGCATTCGGACAAAAAGTTTGTATATCCTGAAGAGGCTTTTTTTTATTCTTTTGTTCTACATGATTTTTTTTATTTAGTTATTACACGTATGATTATTGTTTATATCATTTTTCTTACATGATACTATTATCAAAATAATATTAAAAAAAATGTCAAATATTAAGACAAAAAAAAAATGATAACCTGTTTGGTTTAGGAAATTTTTTAAAATGTACTGAGCTAAAATAATATTATAACGAAAACAATAACTAAATTATAAAAATTATACATTAAAAAAAAAAAAGATCTGCCCATACAACAACCAAAAATTATGAAGATACATAGATATGTAATATCCAGGTACTCACAATTTCAGCCAACAATTGCAAGCAAACTTTGTCTGAATGCTGGAATTGAGCAAAGTACAGATCCAAATATACCATTCAGAGCATAAGCAATGGCACAAAATGGTAAAGCCTCAGGTTCCTTGGCAGATAAAGCTGCTGTTCCAAGCCCATGAGCACTGTATAAATTCATTCAAGACTAAGCAAAATAAACATATGCTTCAAGAAGAATATTGTTTATCTACCTGAAATGAATGTTTCTTATAAATACTATTTCTCCATAGATGATATATGAACTGTGCAGAATATACCTAGATGCGGTTGCTATTCCCCGAGCGATTGGATCGCGGAGACGGAGCTTATCAAGTGTTGATTGCACAAAATTTGCTCCAACCAGACCAGTTACTACAACTGCAGCTGCTGTGATAGATGCATTGGCGCCTGCAGACACCATGGTGAAATTTCAAAGATGAAATTGTTTATCTTTTGCTTGGGGAGGGGGTAACACAGGGTTTAAACAAATTAGGATTTCAGACTACTAGTGTGTTTCCATTTGCATTAAATGTTTATGTGTCTAAGTTTACTTCAACGGTACTAGTTTTATCTTCCATGTTGGATCTACATTTACAAATTTTCCAACGTGTTTCAAAGTATACACTAAGTAGCCTCTACATTTACTGCATTAGCTTCAATTTAGATTCACATAGCGACGCAAAACATAATATTTACCTTCAAAAAAAGAGACAATGCTGAGAGCCAACGCTACCGTTATACATCTGGGTAGAATGGATATGGTTAAAGATGGTTCTAAAGCGAGTAGGCGTCCAGCTAGAGCAGTTGAGTACAATGAGAATATGGTTGAGATGATGACAGAGGTGAAAATCTCAGCAGCATGCCTTTTTACAAGCTGAACACAGTAGATAAATCATTACTTGATACTTCAATAGATTTTAGCCATTATTTGTTGATTAAAGGGATGAGGAAGACAAGTTACAGAGCATATTTTGTAATTGGAACTTTGGCCATGGATCGTGTTTATGTCCATATATTCAGCGCACAGAAAATATGAGTTCCATGTTCTAATTTGAATCCATATCTGTTCAAGTAAAATTGAACTCTAAAGATATTTGCTGATAACTATTCTATTCACCTCCTTATAAAGGTCTTATTATCCAAACTGGAAAGAACAGATTGAATCTAGCATCATGGCATCATCATCATCATCACCACCACCATTAATTATCATTAATTCATTTTTTGTTTGTTCTCACGATTTTTAAATAATACTAGATCTTAACAATGTACTCGTTATCATTAATCCACCCTCAGTATTTTAATTTTTTTCTTTCGGCAGGGGGGGGGAGGTACTTGGGAAAAAGCTATGGCCATGAAGAATATGCCAATTTAATTTACAGAACTGCCATTACACATCGTTAATTATTCAGAACTCAGTAATAAATAACATGTCAAGCATCGCCCAGGAATAAGGTTGACAGAAACTTGCCTAACTTTGTAAAAAATCAAAAGAAACAACTTGCATAGTAATGAAAATATATTTGGCTGTATAGAAAATATTGTTTTTTGCAGTATAGAATTTATGTAGTGATGATTACAAATCCAGATGGTTACCTTTCTTTGTTTGAACATAGAGAAGGCAAATGAGAGAATAACAGATCCCAGAAATGCCATTAGAATGTCACCAGCTCCAGGATTAGACGAGGAATTTGTAAGGTAATATCCTGTGAAAGTCAAGAAGAATCAACAAAATTACATCAAAGCTAGGTCACTGCGTAGATGTTAGTATATATTGATAAATTTGCAGTATATTCAGCTAAATAAAAGAGAAAGCCATTTAGCGCCCCAATTTCAAATTAACATTATTATCAGACCGTAAATCAAACCAAATACGGTGAGCTCAGTTCAAGATTAACTTGACATAATTTGTTTTTCCAGATAACTCATTGTCATACGCACTTTAATTTCAAGTTGGAACTCAATTTTGAATGAAAATACTTCAAATGTTTATAATAACTCATAAGAACAACATGGTGCTCATTTGGTTTACTAGTGCAAGTGCTTCGAACAACGGTTGGGCAAATGGAAGACTTTTTGAATTTTGGGAAAACTTGCCTCATAATGCTCAATTTCAGCTTTTGCAGTGATTGGTATCTAAAACAAACAGGCTCCAGAACAATATAGAGAGTTGAATATTTAACTTTTGATTATAATTTATACCTAGAACAGGATCTAGCCCTAAGTTCGATAAAAACCCAAAAGCAATTGCTGTTAGCTCTGCAGACACCGCACAGAAAATTATTGGGTGGAAGATCTTCTTCACATTTGATGGCAATCTGAAAATAAAAAGAGTAAGAAAAGGCCTATAGTTGTGTCCAATAAAATGCTAATAGCATGTTCTATGAAAATATTTCACTACTAGCTCAATATAAATTTTAAACAAAGAAAGAGAAAGTAATTGCCCCAGAATCAACCATGTAAAAATTGTAAATAGTAATTTAAACGTGTAAACCGCATATGCAGTGATGAAAAGGAACCTTTACCCAGAACCAACCATGTAGCCTAACACTGTGGATGCAAGCAAGAATGGAAGGAAGGTTCTGGCTCTTGTCCCCAATGCTGTTGGGTAAACTAATGAAACAATAAAGGATATTAGGAGAACCCCAGTCCATGCCCAAACTTCGGTGGAAGAAAATGGCGGGGCTCTCTCCATAGGCCCTGCATCTATCAATTCTGTCTTCACAGCTTTCCTAATCCCTATAGCTGTTAAACCCGCAACACAAAGTGTAGCCAGCCATCCTCCAACTACACAAGATTAACAAGTCTCAATTCTCATGAAATTGTAACAAACATTTAATTACTCACCCACAGAGACATAATCATCATCATCACAATAATAATAAGAGCTTGACGAGTAATCTATATGCTAGCAATCAGCAAATTCAAAAGTTTAATAAATAGTTGACCGAGGACTGCACTAAACTAAAAAGACATACTTTGAAGCTTCCAGCACTGTGAAAGACGTGCATTCTTGGATTCATGTTAACCGCATAAAATCACATTTATTTCATTGTAACGTGATAATGTTTGGTTGTACTTGATTAAAAATGATTTTTTCTTCCGAACCCATGTTTGAGTATACATGATAAATTGTAGTTAAGTTGAAATTTTTCTACTGAGTTTTAATCCAAACTATCACTTAAGAGAAAAGTTTCGAAACATAAACTGCATTACTTTAAGCTCACTTTTAAACAAAATTAATTGTAAAAAATCAAGTTGATCCAAACCCAAGTTTACATTCTCCCCCAAACATACACATAGTTCGAAAGACAAGCTGAACCCAAAAGATAATTTAATTGAAGGACAAAAGATTGATATTTGATAATAACCTTTGAACAATAGAGGAGACATGGCATGCATATATACCTATAATGAGGCAAATTTTGATGGCAGCAGAAGGGGGAATATCTCTAACAGAAAGGGGTATTACAACCAAATAGGGAACATAGAACAAAGGGAGCCATCTCTGAATGAACATAAGCCCTGGTTCAAAGAAATTCACCAAGGCCACAGCTGCAGAAGGCACAGCATAATCAAGAATAACCAAAACAGAGAATATACAGAACATCCCAAACACGGCACTAGGAAACTCAATTGAAGCAGCAGCAAAGGCTTTCTTCAAGAGAAAGTCCATGGCCAGAATAAGCCCCAAGGAAACAATCCAATGTAACACCCCAAACACATAAGGACGCAAACTTTGCCTCAAAGGGTCAGTGGAATTGCTCCCAGTTTCGGATTGGGGTGGTTCTATCAAAGGTTGTTCGCTTTTGCAAGTATCTGAGGTACCCATTTGCTGCAGTCATGAACTGAGGGTGTGCCCAATCAATACCTAGGATGGATATGGTTGAATGTGTAAAAGGAACCATTTTTTGAAGATGTGAAGTGCATTCAATGAATGATGATGACTGAGAGAGAACAGACAAAAGACAACAAATAGAGTATGTGGCACGACAGCGTCAGACGCAGGTACGACCGTGGGGTCCCGGAAACCATATATCAACGGACGACAAAACAGTGATAAGAATTTTTAAAAATATAGAAAAAAAATATACGTATATTTTTTAATAAAAAAAAGCTAATTAGTAATCAGTACAATGCATTAACGTTTTATTTAAAAATATTTTATTTTTTATAAATAATTATAAAATAAATTTTTATAAAAAATTGATGTAAATATTGTTTTTACTATAATTTTTAGACTTTATATTTGTAAAATATTTTGCACTATAAAAATATTATCAAAATTTAATTCAATGTTAAATTTATAAATAAATACGTATTATAAAAAATCACTTAACATAAATTAAAAATGTAAATAACACTTAAAAAAGTGTTATTGTTTAAAAGATATTTAAAAATAGTTTCATTCAAAAAATAATACTCATAAATTATTTAACAAACTTTTTTTTAAAACATATTACGAATTATTTTTCTCGCTAACTTACTTGTAATTAAAATTAATTTTATAATCCAAAATTAAATTAATAATTGTTCCCAAGACAGACGTACACAGTGAAGAGTGAGAAGAGAAAGTTGACAAAACAGTACAAATTGAGGTCTTACAAATCCATTGGAAGTTGATTTTCATTTCCATTCAACTCACCCACAAGTGATTATGCTCCATCGTAAAGAATCCATTACACGAATTGAACCCACGAAAATTGTATTATAAACTCATCTAATTGTAGTTAAATCCTTTACTTTTAAAAAAAATATTCAATTTAACTTCCGTTCAATAAAATATGAATAAATATTTTATTCTCTTAAATTGTTTGCTTCTATCACTTTAATCTTGTCATTGTTTTTAATTTTTAAAACAATCATTTATTTTAATTTTTTTTATTTTCATTTTGTATTAAAAATTATCAAAATGAATGTCAATTTTTAATAAAATTAAAGACTAAAATAATTGACACTTACAATTTAAAAAAACTAAAATAAACGATGATTAGTTAAAAAAAAAAAAAATCAGCACGAAGTATTATTCTATTAGGAGATATGCAGGGCAAAATTTTCTAGCAATGTGATATTGTGACATAATGGTCTTCAATCCTTTAGAGGCCCTCATGATGCATGTATCATTATTCAATACACCCTCTTACATTGTCTATGGCAAATTTTCAATGTCATACTTGAGGTGAGTCCTAAAAAATGCTTTAGAGTTTAGAAGTCAAGCAATTTCTCAGCTGCCTTCGAAGGATCTTCCCAGTGGGTGACCTCGGTATCTTGTCAGTGAAAAACACTTTCCTAACCTTCTTATATGGAGCAACCTACCACAAAAGAGTTACAAATGGCAAAAACTCTTAGAAGCTAACAATAATATGACATTGTTCATAGAGTAGCTAGCTAATGCTACACCTTGATACATGTTGCATATATGCAATTTAAAAGGCATCCCTACAGAGACTAGAACTTTGATTCAAGAGTAAATGTGAATTGAAATATCACAGAACTTGAGTCTCTTTTATCAGGAGTCCAGGACAAACCTGTGCAGCAATACAATCCATAATATGCTTTGGAGACAGTTCACTTCCAACCTTCTTGACCACAAATGCCACTGGAATCTCCCCATTTTCTTGATCCATGGCACTGAAATGGAAAATGATGCAAACACTTCAGGACATATTTCAATGGCTAAAGAGGAGCTCTAAGTGTATGGATGACTAATATGTACACTTTGGAACGTGCATATTTGAATCATTTAAAAAACAAATAGCTTAGAAACTAGAGAATAAGGTATATTTGTAACTTTATAAAAAGCACCAGGCTGGGAAGACTTTGCAAGTGGCCACCTTTGTGAAAGTCAACGTGGGCGCATTTCAATTGTTAAACAAGCACAGGAAAATTATTTCAATTGCATTCAGGTCATACAAACAACTGAGTGTTCTATAAATTGCTGAAAAGAAGACTAAATAAAATGTTCTTACTTACCCTGTAACAGCAACATCAACAATTTCAGGATGCAAAATTAACACAGCTTCTAAATCGGCAGGAGCAATCTGTAACAGATCATGTATAAGAATATATTTACCACATACAAATTACAGAATATATGCCATGCATGAGACTATATGTACATGATACATCACATACAGATTGAGTTAAATATATGTATATATAAAAAATATTCTCCTTGTGATTGAAAACCAAGCAATATACGGTATTTCATGTGTTGCACTGAACAACAGACACTTAAGTACTTATTTGAACATGAGAAGCTTTTTCAGTTATTTAAGTGCATGAATAACTATATTTAAGTACTTATTTGATAAGTTCCTTTTAAAAGGATGACTTATGTCATACATAAATTTAACGATGAAACTTATTAGGATGAGCTAAAACAGCTTGTTTTCATAAATTATACCAATAAGCTTATTGAAATAAGCAGAAAACAGCTTATGAGAGTCAAAGTTATTCTTCAATAAATAACTGTGCTTCAAAGTTATTTTTCTTAAATAGTAAATAACTACTTTAAGAAAATGTAAGATGCTCAACCAAAATACTCTGCCTGAAATTTAAAAGCAATGAAATCTGTCTCAAAATACTGGCAATTTACTGCCATCCTACACTGTTCCCCCCCCCCCTCCCCCCCCAAAAAAAAAGGAAAACCTGTTGATTTGTTATGCATTTATGAGTACATACTGCTATAGTTTTCATACAAAAAGGTCTGCATTCCTGTAAACTTAATTGATTGTGATTTATTTATTTATTGTCCAAGGAAGGACCAACCCCACAGGGAAGGGGGTGAAGCACAATGTGGGTTTAAACAAGCACAATATCATTGCATGTCCACAACTTTACCAACTCAGCTGTCTCAAGAGAACAGTTATTTATTTATGCTCAAGCAAAGGATGCTATTTACTTAACCAAATTATTGTTACTTTTATAATAAGAAAAATTGGATACCTGAAAGCCCTTGTATTTGATAATATCTTTTAAGCGGTCAGATATGTGTAAATACCCATCCTGATCAAAATAAACAACATCTCCAGTATGTAGCCAACCATCTTTATCAATTGTTGAAATTGTGGCTTCCTCATTATTCAAGTATCCTGAGAAGTCATGCAAAAAAAAGAAAAGAAAAGAGAACATATTTCAATTAGAATATCAACAAAATGGCAAAGCATTAGTAGGATGAGGTTGATTTTATTAGATTTAGGAACATCAAGGAAAACACATACATGAAATGACAGAAACAAGAACTCATACGAACAAACTAGGACTTGTTTGTTGAAAAGTTGATAAATAAATTATGGAGCCTTTGAATGAAAAAACACACATTTAAATAAAAAAATATGGTTCAAATTAATTTATGCATGTATCTTCATTATATTCAATGGCTAAAAATTAATTTCTTCAAAATCAATTCTACTTAACTGTTAACCAAACTGGCACTTTTAAACAGTTTACTTGAAGAGAAATTTTACTTCAATTTTCTCTAAGCTAAATAGAACGAGAACTTTTAGTAACATTTTACAGACAAAGGCATGAGAGTTATATCAATAGCAGCAATATTTGATTGTAAGAATTTAAATAAATAAGACTAAATCTCATTCCATTCATACATTAAAACTGAAAGCATGAAACACTGTAACAAAAATGTAAATAATATCAATCACTGGAAGAATACTAAAATGGAGCTTCTCGACCAAATTTATGTGAACACTAATCTCATCAACCATGATATGATATTCATATTGTCAATAAGATGTCTAAGAAACTGACCTGCCAATTTCTCAAGGCACAAGGCTAATATTTTATTCATGGCAATAAATGAATACAGTCAATACTTTCTAATTTATATTGATTCAGGAACACAGATTTTTACCTTTCATAATTGCAGGCCCTCTCAACCAAAGCTCACCCCTGCTGCCTGGAGGCAAAAATGCACTGCTATTGCAATCTACAACTTTTGCCTCCATGTTTGGAGCTAATAATCCTACTGAAGAATAATTGCAAAACTTTCCAGAATTGAAGCCCCGTGTTCCTACTGCAGTCGACTCAGTCATTCCATAACCCTAAAAGGAAACAATCTTACAGCTGGAAATTCTCAAAATCTAGGAAAGCAACATTACCATAAACAAATAAAAGTTCAACTTCGATGATCCAATATTAGTTGTTAATGTGCATATCAGTGGTACAATAAGATTATTCATAAACACGGGAAAAATGTTTTCATTTAACAAAGCTTCCTGCTCAGAAATGTTTGTGTGTATCTCCTTCAAACTAAACAGTATATGGAATCAGCACTCAGCTAATAACAACAATGACAAACAACAACCAAAAAAAAAACTCAGGCAATCAGATGAATGATGGCAGATGACCCACATTCTTTGAATAAGACAACTTTGTTCCAAGGTTCTTTACCTGTATAAAATCAACATTAGGGAAAGCTTGGACGACGTCATTAATAACTCCTGCACTCAAAGGCGCTGCACCACAGGAGATCTGTATCAAACTCTGCAACTTACTTCCATTAATACCCTTTGCCTTCGTTACCAATGCTGTCAACATCGGTGGAACAACAGGAAAATGTGTAACTTCATATTGATCAATCACCCTGATAACTTCATCAATGTCAAATTTCCTCATCACAACAACCGTAGAACCCAAAGACAATAACCCGATAGCAAAGAGCGATAAACCATATATATGGAACATTGGCAAAACAGCAAGATACACATTCTTCAAGCAAGAGCATTCATACTGAGAAGCTTCAAACCTCACAAAAAGCTCAACCATAGCAACAAGATTTTTATGGGTTAGAACAACTCCTTTGCTCACCCCTGTAGTCCCTGATGAATACAGTATACTCGCACTGTCTTCCTGTTTAATAACAGGCCTATGAGGCAAATCAAAGTCTCCAGAAATCAAGTCACAAAAACTTGAGAAACAACCATGTTTCAAACCCTTCTCATTTTCTGGCACAGCAATAATGGGAATTCCCAATGATTCTAATTTATTTAAGTTTTCAGGCACAGTAAAAACCAGACTCACACCGCACTCACTAATCTGCTTACGAATTTCATAGCCACTACTAAGAGGATTCGATGGTGTAACAACAGCACCTAGATACAGAACACCCAAGAACACAATGGGATAGTAAATAGAATTTGGAAGCAAAAGCAAAACCACGTCACCTTGTGAAACACCCATTTTACGAAGACCAGAAGCCATGGATTTGATGAAAGGTAAGAACTTTGAGTAAGGAATGGAAGACCCAGATGAGGAATCAACGAGGGCTGAAACCCCATTATGGCGGCGAGAAAAAATGAAGGAAACAAGGTCGAGAAAAGGGTCAGTGGGAAGGTCCAAGGTAGCGTGTTTGCTGTGGTAGATTCCGGTTTGCGGTTGGTACCAAAGAGGGTGTGAAAGGGTGTTATGGGACATATCACAGTTTACGTTTGCCGCCATTGATTCAGAAAAGAGAAAAAGGGAGTGTGTTGTGTGTCGGTGTTAGTGTTATGTATGCATTTGATTTCAGTGTTGAAAGTAGGCTTGAAAGTGAAGTTACTGCGACATGCATCGCATAGGGACATGCAATTGGCGGGTACTGAAAATTTATGAAATGGGAGTAATGGAATTTTTGATAATTTGAGTGAAAAAGGACAAAAAAATCGTTGAAGATCGAAATAGTTGGCATGGCGATGCCAATTTCTTTCACTCCGCATTCTGAGGTTGCCGCGGGAATTACTCCATTCATAGAGTTTCGGTCAGACCAGGCTTCTACGCATAAACACTACCAGCAGCAGCCAATAATAATAATAATAATCAGATGGTTATGATTTTTTAATATTTTATAGATTAAAAATATTTATATTTTTTAAAATAAATTATTAATTTTATTATTTATTAATATAAAATTAATTATGATAATTATTCTATGTACGAAAGACTACAAAATACTTTTTTAATTTATAAAATATCGTATTAATAGTTATTCTCATAAAAGGAGTTGTGTGTCATAAAAACAATAGTTAAAAATTTAAAATGATAAATTTTTATTTAAAATTAGGTTGAATTATATTAAAATTACAGGTAAAGTACAATTATAATGTTTTTTAAATAAAATATTATATTTTATCAGTCAATTTAAAAATTAAAGAAAATATCTATTCTTTTTATTATACCTGCTCTTTACAAAAATTTTAATTATTTTACACATCTATCATAAGATGAATACTTAATTGTTGTAAAATTTAATAAGATCAAACCACAAAATTTTCATATATATTAAATGAGTAAGAATAATAGATAAGAAAAGAAGTTAATTAATTAGAGAGCAGGAGAATCGAATTGGAAATTATATAATAATTTTTATATAAATTAAAACATTAAATAATTTCCTTAAAGCGTATGGAACGACCTTAAATGACAAATTAAAAAAAATGAAAGGAGTAAGTAATGCTAATATATGCATTTTAAGAAAATAACTAAACTTTATCAAATTTATTTTTTAAGTAATTTTATTAAAATATCTTTATTAAAAGTGTTGAAATAATTAGAGTAATTAATTGATAAAAATTATTTTAAGAGAAATAAGAGTTATTTATCTCATACTCCGCAAAAAAAAAATTTGGAGTATAAACAAGGAGTGTTCTCAGAGCTTCTTTCATCTTTCAAACTATATTAAGCTTTGATTAAGTAGCTAAAGCCTTCTTACCATATCCCTTTAGGCCTTTACCATTTTGATTTTGTTTTGTTTAAATGGCATTAGTTTTATTGTTGGGATTGTTCAAATAGGATGTTATGGATAGCATTTTATTTCACATTATCTAATATCCTTATACCTATTTTTTCTTTCCCTCTAATTTGACAATTAGGTGATGGAAACACATTTTCTTTCATTTCATCAGAAAAATATTCAAACAATAAAGATATAACTTTATGCCAAATATCCAAACATGGTCTATAATAAATATGAAACAATGATATCAAATACATAAGGTTGTGGATACAAACAATAAGAAATGATATTTAGTTATGCAATTAAATTTAAAGAACTCGTCTCATAATGAGAAAGGAACCATAATTGAACTGTCGAAAATTAAATAATGGGGTAAAATTTTGAAGTTATAGAACAAAATTATCGGCACATATATAATAAGTTCCCTAGCCCAAAAAAATTAAAATGTAACAAGTAAATGCAATTGAATATTAAGGCTTTTTCTAAAAGATGTTTCACAGCCGCAACAGTTTATCTATTCTCATTCCCTTCTTTAAGTTCGAAACTAATATAAACTCTAATTTGAGTCCGTAAATATTATGAGAAAGGTTATATCTATTTTGATCATTTCTGTTATGAAAGATATTAGTCCTTAATACTCAATTAAAAATATCCATTGCATACTAAAAGATATAATTATGTACGCTAAATTCTATTTATTTGAGTCCTCCCTGACCTGAATTTTAGATCTATCCTTAATTATTATGAGTTTAATTTTTGTATATCAATGTAAAAAGTTTTCCTGTGAACAAATTACAATACATCATAAATATAATTTTTATATTAATTATTGTAAAACGTTAACAATGTTTGCTAAAAGGACAATCTATAATTAGATGTAGCATAAAAAACATCTCCACTGCCAATGTACTTAAATTAAATTCTTTTTGTATTTCTAAATTGTTCCAAAACCACATTGAGGACTATGCATAAATTAAGCAATCACCCAGTGAATAAGATTAATTTGGCAAGCATATAATAACCTTCCCTCCCCCCCACCACCCCCACCCCAAAAAATAAAAAATCTAGCAGTATTTGAAAACGAAACTAAAGAATTTACATTTAACGAAGAAACAATAATTTACATTTGAATTGGATAAAAATCCAAAACACATCTAAGTTGATAAGAACACTAAATTTTCAGTAAGGGGTCTCAATTAAGCAACTTGGTTAATTGGTATGCACTAAACTCGGTTTAAGGCTCAACTTAATTCTGATAAACATAACTGGGAGGGGAGGGAGGATGGTACTGATAGTAATATCCTGGTGCTGATGTTGGATAGTCACAATATTGAGGTGGAAAAGGTTGATTTACATGATGTGGTGGGGAGGGAGAACTAGGCTCACTTAATGGAGAACTAGCTACATTAGTTTGCTGTTTATCTACTCTCACTTCAAGCAATTCCTCTTCTACCTCAAATGACCTGAAAATTGGATGCAAGTAAGCATCAGCCAAATAAGCTTCTATGTTGAGGTCAGGTTCTGTGCTTTTCTCCAATAAATCCTTCGACATTGCTTCCTGAATAGATGAAGAGAAATCAGTCTCAAATATGAGCAATCACATAACATGTAGCCACCTCCAAAGAAAAGGGAAAGAAGCTTTGAGAATTCTACATTATACCAAAGGTTTGGTACCCTTTCCCAGTTGGAAATTTGTAATATTACCTCAAGTGGGTACATCCTGAATGCCGGCTCGAATCGACGCTGGCAGTACTTGTGGAATGCAAATGTCAATATTGGTAACATGACAAGCAAAGGTGTAGAATTGGCTGCCTTTTTTGTGCTAAGCAGACCCAAGAGAAGAAGCTGGGATATTAGTAGGCTTGCTATAATGCGGCTGTGAACAAGTGGCCAAAATGCCGCAGCACTTTCATACTGTTGATTGTAGACATTTATTATCTGCATAATTCAACATCATATAAAATTATATTTAGCCTACACCATATGACCTCACCTTTTATAATTGCATTTTAAGAGAGAAATGTTGCAAGCTTGTGAGAAGTGAGGCATCATACAGATTATCATCTCACTTGGAGCATACATTGCTCTAGAAATTTGGTAAAGTTGATGTTATGAATTTTAATGGACATAACAGGTATCTCATTGTTATTAATTTGTGCTTTTTTTTTCTATGCTGATTTCTTGAAAGCCCTACTCATGACAAGTAGCTAATGTTATCTAGAGCATCTCGCTAGGTAGTACAAAACTTGGACGATTGTCAAGTATGTGCGAGCAGTTATGCATCATATACTGCAGTCCAGTAAATCCAAGTTAATTATCAGATGATAGATAATGCTTTGGTGCTTATTAGGCAATGTCTGACAATTCCCAAATCTTAGAAATCCTCAAGCCCTACTCAGCAAAATTGGTATGGTTTAAGTTCATACAAGAAGAGACACTACCTGATGGCGGTAAACCAAATATGCAAAGGCAAAGAAGACCAGTATGAAAGGAAGTAGGATTGGTGTCACCACAGCATACACAATTCCAAGAAGGAAGTATAGTTGAAGACTTGGAATAGTCTCTGGAAAGTCCACACTCCCAGGGTCCATGGCTTTTCCTCTATCTCTCTCAGTTTTAACTAAGAACATGTTCTTGAGATGATATATAACCAATGGCTTTAATCTGAGAATTTCACCAGCAATTCCAGCCCAGCCATCAACCATTATGTATGTCATAAAGAAGGTAGCCTTCATTGGAATGGAAACTCCAATTGTTCTAGGAATCCTATAATCAATAATATAATTTGCAAAGACTAGTCAGGTAGCAAGCATATGTATGAGATTAGTAACAGGAGAGAATGAAAAAATATCCGATGCAATGAAAAAGAGCAGGAAAAACTATCAAATACAGTGAAAACTTCAATCATGTTGCAAAAGGTTACTGCATTTATTGACATCAGATATACGAAATTGGAAGGAAGATACAAGAATAGGGCAAATCTGACAAATAATATACCAAACACATATCATGTATAGGATTGTTTCTCCAGATGCAATTAAATAGCTACTAGCTAGCCAGTCATTATTTTACTTCAGAACTTCTTAATTGAAGACTAGACTCCAGATCAAGTAACGAATGATACAAAATTTTTGGTTATTATATGGAGGTGGTCACCTCAAGTGGTTGAGTCACAATTGGTTGAATCAAATTTTAACAACGCCAGTGAATATTAAAATAACTTTATTTATACACTAGCGCCAAGTTCATAGTATATATCTGATGGTTAACACACAACATCTTGAGGGGTTCACTTCTCCATAGACTTAATCTTATATTTTGCATTTCCTACTCTTCATCATACTTGAGATTGCACATTTCTGCCTTTGTTTCCCATTTTCTTTAATTTTTTTATTTTATTTTTGGAGGTTTTATTATATATGGACTTCATTTAAACAATATTGATGGTCTTCTGGAGTTCAAACAGTCCAGGAAAAACAAACATGCCTAATGCCAACTGCGAAGTTGTAAAATCTAGTACAACCACTTGGAACATGGGCAATTATATATATTCAAGAGTAATAATTGTCTAGAACACATACTGTGTAGGTGACTGATGAAGGAAAGCATGCAGTTGCTCAAATGCAGTCCCAGTCACTATGCTTCCCAAGAAAACATTCACCAGCATAAAGTAATAATATTTTGCTGCTGTCTTTCGCTCAAGTGTTGACAGTGCAATATATCCCTCAATTTTTGACATGATCATCAGAACTGTGGGTAGAATATACAAAAATATTTTAAGAGCCAAACCAGGAAGGAAACCCTGTAGAAAGGACTTGATGAATTTCCTGTCAAAAGCCAAAAAGCCTTTATGAGGCTAACTATAAGAAAAATGCAGGCCATGAATCA